ATGATTCAGTTACCTCCCACCAGGTCCCTCCCATAACACATGGGAATTCAAGATGAAATTTGGGTAGGGACACAGCAAAACCATATCACCTAGTGACCACACTGTTTTGTCATAAGCTCCAGTCTGTGTAACTGTCAATTACTGATACTTGTAGCTCAAAGAGCTTTTTAGGACTGACTGGCCTGAGTGGTAAGTCTGTACAGATTCACAGGACAGGTATAAAATTACGTAGTTGCTTGAGTCACTTCTGCCTCCATTAGTCCTTGGTTAGTATAGTGATATCCATTTCCCACCCCAATATCTTTATTGCTTTGCAGTTACAACATGACTAGACTGGGAAAGTCTGGAAGTCTGGCAGGCTTCTGGTTGTGCACTCACACTACTAGCACTGTTCTAATTGTGTCATTTCCCCTCAGGGTATATCCATTGCAACCATGAAATGTTACAACCACTTGAGTGTATACTGGTCTCAAATGACCCATATATAAGATTTTATAAGTTCATTGTCCAATCTGAGATTTCCACATCTAGTTAAAGTAATTTTCAAGCTATGTTAATTTCCTATTGCTGCTACAACAAATTAGTACAAACTCAGGGGCTCAAAAAATATATACATTTGTTCTATTACAATTCTGGAGATCAGAAGCCTAAAATTAAGGTGTTTGTATGGCTGCATTTCTTCTGGAGGCTTCTGGGGATAATCTATTTCCTTGCTTTTTCAATCTTCTAGAGGCCACCTGCATTACTTTCCCATCTCAAAATTTGTAACATAATCACATCTACTAAGTTCCTTTTGCCATGTAACATATTCATAGTTTCTGGGGATTAGGATGTGAACATTTTGGGGGGTACAGCATCATTCCACTTGTCAGACTAGCCATGTCTATGGATGCTACCCAGCATCACAGTGACTTGTATCCCAGTGTTCAAAAGAGTTGAAAAGGTTTGGCAACCTTGGTTGCTGTCAAGTCAGCAACATGCCTTGACCAGTGTATAAGGCCTCCAGTCCCACTTAGAGAAGTAGGGACCTTGGCCTCTGCCCTAGTTGTTTTTTTCTTGAAGCAGGGCAGGACCTGGGTTAAGAGGTAGTGTTGAAGGTGTTGGGTCAACACTAGCTTGAACAGCACAAATTTCATCAAGGATTCTAGGTCCTTTTGGTGCTCCTCCTGTTTGTCCACAGTAAATACCAAATCTAGCTAAGGATTCTTCCCTCCTACAGCCAGGATCTTTAAATTGTGTGGTCCTCTTGGGGCCTGATAGTGAGAGAGAACTTCCCTCGTGGGAGAATTATAAATCTCTTGGGGGACCCTGGCATAATAGCCAGGTCTACAAGGTACTATTGTCTGGATCTTCAGTTGGTTTCTTTCTCTCCTCCTTAGCCTGAAGGACATTTTCCTAGTCCTGTGTTCTGTAGTATTTTGTTTCCCAGGAACTGAGGAGTTTTCCAGAGGCTATGTCTGGGACACAAGAGAAGATTTTTATTGCCGCTGATAGCCTGGTGGTGCCAACTGAACAAACCAGTGAATCTGACCCTGTATGACTATCTCATCACCTAAGAACTCTTGTTCTCCATTATAAATCCAGCCTCAGGTTACCTTAAGGGAAGTTATAGCTGCCCCTGCTCTCACCCATAGGTGTTTATCAAATGACAGAAATTCATCTCAGGTTGGTCACTGTTTCATTATGAATGTAAATATCTACTGAAACAATTCCTCAGTGGTCTCAACATACTCTTCTATGTCAATGTTATCAGCCAATGTGTATGTGGCCAGGCTGGCTTGGAGCATGGGGCCAGTCTTTAGATGACTGAGTGATTTCCATTCCTTCTCATTTACAAAAACTGGAATGGCTATCTCATCTGCTAGTCAGATAAGCCAAGCCCCTGTACTCTTACTGGAATCTGTTCAAAGCTTTCTCCAATTTACCTAATTTCTAGCTCATTGTAAGAGTGGACTGCGGCACATGTATGAGTAACTGACTGCCCTTGATTATCAGGGCACATGTTATCTGCAGTTATGGCCACGGATTAGAGGAAAACAGTCTTGTTCTCCCAATGGGACAGAAGGGTGGATAATAACCATGGAATACTTCTTTTTGGCTTTATGGAGTCCCTATCTCTTATCTCTATCAATGCAAGTCATCAGGGGTCTCAGGGATTATGGTCAAGGACCACTTATCCCCCCTTATTGCCAAACGCTTCAGTAACCAGGTCTGTGCTACTGCTCACCAATGTTCCATACCTGGCTACCCAGCTTAGGGGTCACAGCTGTGTTTTTTTCCAAAAAAAGGCATTGTGACTTTATAGGCCTCCAGGAAGAGAGGATTAAAAATTAGAATGGAGTCAATCTGTCAGGGTAAGGTCAAAGTCCCCTATAGTGTGGCCTCTTTTACTATATACAAATGGTCAAATTTTGTAGGAGTTACAGTTTTTCTATCAGGAACATACCATTATTTAGTTTCCAAAACACAGTAGTTTTTCTTTGATGCCAGAGGGATTCAGTGTTGTGAAGCTACCTGCATTGTTTCAAGAAATTTTATTTGATAAGCAGGCCTTCAATTTTGGGGGAGCTTATCAGTTTTTCCTGTAGCTAGGCAGCCAAGAGCTGATAATGAAACCTTTAATTTGTCAACCAACAAGACATCATTTATACAGTGAAAACTTTGGACATCAGAGGAATTTCCTAACACCATATAAACATTTAAGATTTAAGTATGTAACCTATCTTAAACCAATTACACATTTTTACAACTATATACACAATGGATCTTCTCAAGCCTCATTCAAGTTACTTTTTTCTGTCTCCATAGCAAGTTTTGCCCAAATTCTACCAGGCAACTTCTTTTTTTTTTTTTTTTTTTAACAGAAACATAGAACAAGAGGCACCTCCATTACAGGGTAGCTAGAAGCTCACAGAATGGGGGAATAGGGTGGCACAGGGTGAGCAACTTACACCAATAAGTGCATCTTTGCACTTACTTTTGTGGTTGTAAGTGGTCATTCACTGGGTTTCAACAAATGTACTCTTAATAACATCAAAGCATCAACTGAACAGCTGGTTTCAATCTTACTTCTAGCCACCTGACCTCCAAATGTTTATCAGCAGGTAACATGGTAACACTATGGGAGTCCTGTCCCTTAACAGGGCTCATACAGACCCCGTGCAAGGACCCTTACTTCTCCTCCCTCACCTACCTCTTAGGCAAGGGTTACGTTACCAGGTCCTGGGAGTCTTATCCTTCCTAATGTGGCCTATGTAATCCCTTAATAGAAGGACCCTCCTCCACCTTTTTCCCACCACATAGGCAAAAGCATGTGCAACCAGATGCCAAGGAATCTTTTTACTTAACCAGGACTGTGCAGCTTCACGTTTTCTAAAAGGACACTATAAATTTACTGGCTTCACATTGACACAAAATTAGGCTCACAAATAATGATAAGGCAAAGCCAAGGCCTGACTGATTTGACTAGTAAAAATTCAACAAGCTGTTTTTAGATTTAGGCAGTTTAGTACTTACATAGACAGTGAAAGAAAGATCAGCCAAAGGTGCCAGATCCCTGTGATCCTTGCCTCACACACCAAAAAGGATGACACCAAAACAAAAGGGACTAGGAGACTACAACACAACTTGTACAGTACTTTGTTACTGACGAGCTAAATCTAGACAGCAGTTAACTGATTTTATATTTTGCAGCCCTATTTTGAAGAGGATGGGTCAGAAAGCCTCTTACCGCCTCAGAACCAGGAAGTAGATGGGAAACTGTCTCATGACAGCCTCCTGGGGAGCTAGGAAGGTAAGAGATCGTCTTATAGCAGCTTCTTATACGCTTCCCATTCTCTTGTGTTCCAGGAGGATCATAAGGCACTCTTCTAAAACCCAGGTTAGCTGTGGTTCAAGCCTTTGCCAATGTGGACACAAACAGGGCACAAGGGCACCATGACAGAGCCATTCCCCTATGGGCGAAAACCATAGATGTGAACCCAGTGATTCATAGAATTACTAAGTCTGTTTAGGCCTTTCATATTTATAATGAGGGATATCTCATTTTCCTCCTCCTCATTTAGCCATTCATTCTCAGTCTACTTTGCTGTCTCTTCTATTTTTCCCCTCCGTGCTCAACATTTTACTCTATACAAACTGTAAATTCAGAACCTATACTCCTTTAGTCTACTTTTGTTTGTGTTTGCTCCCTGTCTAGATTCTGAAACGTTTGTAGGGAAATATTCCATTTCATTGCCTTTTCCATATCCAGTAGATATCACACTGAATGAAATATGGTAGACTATTTGTTGAATTAAAATCAATTTTAGCATTGATACTAATTGGAAAAAGATCCCATCCAATCTGGATTAATAGATGATTTCTCTGTATGTGCTGTATGTGTCTTGTTTGTGATTTTAGTGCATCAAGTGCTATATAAATTCTGTTAGGCAAGTGAGGTACTTGGGGACTAGAAATTGGACTCAATTTTCTGTGTCTGTCCTCACAGTGACTATCTCAGTTCTCAATACAAAATATGTTAAGCATCATTTCTATCACTTTAGTAACTCATGTCATCCCTATGGTTTTTGTCTCATCTACATGTGGCCTGTACTTAATATTTTTAAAATTAAATTAACTCCAAAAATGAATCCTCTAGGTACTGAACAATATTATTAAATAAAAATAAATTTAAATGTTAATATACCCACAGATACTCCCATCCTTAGAATCCCCTCCCAGAATATACCCTCCATTCCTATGGATGCTTCAAGGGTTCACCTACCAGTTCCAGGGTTGGTATTTCCAGTCACAGAACCTCCTTAGGTGATGCAATGACCCTGAGTTAGGGCCACCATAGAAACCAGAGAAAGAACTGTTCCTGAAGCTAGAGAAAAGGAAAGTACTTACAATCTGAACCCAAAGGAATTTTGTACTTCCTATATCATGATCTCAGAACTTCTTTGAGCCAGTGAGGCAGAGCAGAAGGCAGACCAGAAAGAAAAAAAAAATAAGCTCACCTTGGCTTACTCTCCTTGAGGGGGAAGATATTCTAGCTTCATGCCTCTAACGTTCTAGGAGAGATCACAGCCTCAGAGCCGCACCTAGAAAAAGAGGCACCTGCACATCAAACAACTCTGAAGAAAATCTGCCAAATTCCAAACTTCCCCTCTCCCACACGTTCCCCAGAGAAACTCCCCAACAAGGCCCTCAATAATAAAGTGGTAACACCAAGAGGATATACGTCAAAAGAAATATAGATCCAAGATTATTTTCTAGGTTCTAAGAAAGGCAATGGCAACAAAACCCAAAATAGACAAATGTGATCTAATTAAACTAAAGAGCTTCTGCACAGCAAAAGAAACGATCATCAGAGTGAACAGGCAACCTGCAGAATGGGAGAAAATTTTTGCAATCTACCCATCTGACGAAGGGCTAATATCCAGAATCTACAAAGAATTTAAACAAATTTACAAGACAAAAACAAATGACCCCATCAAAAAGTGGGCAAAGGATATGAACAGACACTTCTCAAAAGAAGACATTTATGTAGCCAACACACATATGAAAAAAATGCTCATCATCACTGGTCATCAGAGAAATGCAAATGAAAACCACAATGAGATACCATCTCACACCAGTTAGAATGGCAGTCATTAAAAAGTCAGGAAACAACAGATGCTGGAGAGGATGTGGAGAAACAGGAACACTTTTACACTGTTGCTGGGAGTGTAAATTAGTCCAACCATTGTGGAAGACAGTGTGGCAATTCCTCAGGGATCTAGAACTTGAAATGCCATTTGACCCAGCAATCCCATTACTGGGTATATACCCAAAGGATTATAAATCATGCTACTATAAAGACACATGCACACATACGTTTTTGTGTCACTATTCACAATAGCAAAGACTTGGAACCAACCCAAATGTCCATCAATGATAGACTGGATTAAGAAAATGTGGCACATATACACCAAGGAATACTATGCAGCCATAAAAAAGGATAAGTTCATGTCCTTTGCAGGGACACGGATGAAGCTGGAAACCATCATTCTAAACAAACTATCAGAAGGACAGAAAACCAAACACCAGATGTTCTCACTCATAGGTGGGAGTTGAACAATGAGAACACATGGACATAGGGCAGGGAACATCACACACCAGGGCCTGTCGGGGGGTTGGGGTTCAGGGGAGGGATAGCATTAGGAGAAATACCTAAGGTAAATAACGAGTTGATGGGTGCAGCAAACCAACATGGCACATGTATACCTATGTAACAAACCTGCACGTTGTGTACATGTACCCTAGAACTTAAAGTATAATAATAATTTTAAAAAACGGTATCTAAAAACCTAACATTAACAGGAGGAGGACTAGAGACCATGAGAAAGAAGAAAGCTTAGGGGTAGAACATGAATCAGATGATAGAGACCTTTTGTCTTTTATAAATATGAAAATAGGGCTCATCAATCTAAAATAATCAAAAAGATGAGAATCTAGTTGAAAGAGTTTTATTCATGAGCAAAAGTTGAGGACAGGCTGCCCAGGAAAGCACAAGCTCCAAAGAATGGAAGTCAGTATTCCAAAGTGTAGAAGTTTGTGATCGTTTATATAGACAAAGTTCAGGAATGTTTCACAGAATTTCAGTATCTTTCTATGTAAAACTTAAGGCACAGTTACAATGATCAGATTAGTTAAGGAGGTCCTTTTATTTCATGAAAGGTATATTTAACATTCCACAGTGAAGATGAAACTGTCATGGGGTTCCTATTCAGGTGCCATCTTGTCTGAGTTAGGTACAGGACAATAAAGGAAGCAGTTAATCTGTAACAAAGTTCAGTGATTGGAGGGAAGGTCTCCTCTCTGGTCTTTCCTAGTCATTTACAGAAAAATAACAATGAGGACAAGAGTTAAGCTATAATCTGTCTGTGAAGTAGAATTATAATCATGCTATGTGACTCAGATTACAGTCACATCTCGGTCAAGGCTTAAAATGTTTTGGGGGTTCCAGTGATTTTTTAAAAATTCCAATGGCTTTTAAATCTTACTCATTTTCAAATTTCCCCCTTTTTAATCAAGATCTTTCAAAGATTAGAAGGAGCAAGATTACGTGTTAAAAAAAAAAAAAAAAAAAGATATTTCAAAGAAAGCATCATAGATGACCACAATAGCTTTGCTTCCTTTTATGTTCAGGAGTTTAGTCCCATGTCACTAGGAAGGTTCTTTCGTAGAATGTCATGTGCCATGAAAAAGGGAAATTGGGCAAGCCATAAAGTTGATGAAGTATAGGCCAAATTTAAAGAAACATGAGAAAAATGATTTTGTGACCTGTGTTAAGCTAAACAGATACATCTTCAATTAATGCAGTTCTTTGGGCAATCATTATTCTAATCTTTTTAGTCATGTATCAACTCCATTGCAAACAAATGCCATAACAGCAGTGTAGACAAAAACAGGCCAAAACACAACATATGATTATAATTCCCAGGATAAATAACAGCTTTTGCCATCAAATTCCCCAAAATCCAAACAAGCTGCTTAGCCAATTGCTTGGAGAGGGTTTTGGATCTGAAAGGTTGGTTAGTTGGGTTTTCATGTCATTGTTTAATTTAGTGATGCTATTTGATTCATCTGGGATATAGACACAACGTTCAGTTTTTATGATAGTGCATCTTCCCCCGTGGGCAGCACTGAATATGCTTAAAGTCATACAGGTCTATAATATACCATTTCTCACAAGAGTAATTTCATTATTTAATAACAAAATACTCATGCAGCTATCATTTAGTGCCTTTTGTGTATAATCGGTTAGGGTCTCTACATGGCAAAATGACATGTTGTGGTATGAAGATGGAAGCTAAATGGGCATACCAATGGGACACAACAAATCCAACAAGATTGTAAATGAGGAAAATTTGAAGGTTTTGACAAGGTATGCACTACTTAACCTTGTACCCAACCATAACCAAGGGAACACTGTCCTAACCTTCCTGGGGATAACCATGGCCACAGGTTAGTGCCACATTGCCAAGACAGTCTATTTGGAGCTAACCAATAAATACACGGTCATTGTGCCTATTCAGTGTTATGTCAATCAGTACTTTTAAACATATGTTGTCGATACAATATTCTTTGGGTATCCATCCCATATCTCTAGTGCTACTGGGCCAGGTATCTTTAGTATGATTTCTCTGTTCCCAACATAAAGGGCCCACCTGGCTAAGCTGACCAAAGGAGGGGTTAAACCAGAAAAAATGATACCAAATTTGTTATACCATCCTGAAATAGTATTGTCTTAGGTTTTAATTGGGGCAGTGTTGTTGTTTCATACATCAGTTGGGGTAGTGGCAGCATTAAAACTAATGAACTAAATTTTTTACTGAGAAGCTTTTCCCATGCCTTTTTCTGTAAAGTACTAACAGACCAATGATGAACATTATCCTTAATTACACTAGTGTCAAGCACTAATGACTGGTTTTGAGAAAAGATGGATATATTTCTGATGTTTTATCTATCCAGTCTTGCCTGAAAGGAAGAGATACTCACCACAGCAGGCTAGAAATACCAGAAAGGGGCATGAGACTACACACCCATCAAGCACCTTTTTGCTACCTACTGCATAGTCCTGGGCTCACTGCAGAAAGAGGTTTGCTTCATAAGCAACAGCTGGTGATAGTAGTGCCACCATGGGAGAAACAAGGACAAAAGGAAAGAAGTTTAGTGGGAGTTTATAAAGGAAAATGTTCCCCATCTGTTAATAATTGTTAAATATTAAGTATTCATTTAGATAGAGGCCTAACCCAGAGTCTTGTGTTTTAGCTGTCTATATCAGATATCATCTTCTTCTTGAACTGGCATCAACTTATTTTAAGTTGGAGGTCACTTTCTGGGGAAACAGTCTACTCAGGAGATGGAACATTCTTTAGAAGAGAAACGTGGATCTTTGTGTCTATTCCTTGTAATTTAACAGTACAAGGGTTACTAAGAAGCACATGGTAAGGGGCCCTCAACTTTGGTTGGAAAGAGTCTTTTAAATGATGCGGGGCAGGGGGCGGGGTCAAGATTGCCTACTAGAAGCAGTGGCATTTAGAGGCTCCCATGGAAACAACAACAACCAAAAAAAAAACATAATAAGCATGTGAATCCTTTACCGGCAACCAAGGTATCCAGGTTCTATCATCAAAATTGACTAGAGGACAGGTGCGACCCACGGAGAGAAGGAAGAGCAATGTGGTGTGGTGGCCCACCTGAGAGGCACAAGAGCCACACAGGGAAGGGGAACCCCCTCCTGCCAGCCAAGAGAGGTGGTAGGTGAGCATGCTACCCAGTGGGGGAAACTGTGCTTTTCCCACCTAACTGTGCTACCCACGGATCGGAATATCCCACTCGTGAATCCATGCCACCGGGGCCTAGCGTCCCAACCCAGAACACACAGATTCTTACAGCCTCTCAGCTAGAATCTGCTTAAGCCTACAGAACTCCTGGGGGGAGGGGCGACCAGCACTAGCTGCTGCTGCCTGCTGTCTAAGCCCTTTGAGCTCTTTGGGGGTTGCGCAGTAGCCATCAATGGGACTCGCAAATGCCTAACATACTAAGCTCCCTGGGCAGGGGAAGGGCAGCACCCATCTCTATAGCCCCAGGCTGTGCTTTTCCCCTGCTGGAGCCAGGGAGGTTGGATGGCTTGGTCCCAAGACTTGTCCCCGACAGCCCAACACACAGGCTGTGGTAGTCTGAGGCCAGAGGGCCTCTTCAGGCCTGAATCTGACCCATCCTTCCTCATTGGGTGTGGCTTCCCTGCAGGAACTCCAATAACTCCAGCCAGAGGCTCAGGGACAGAACCCAGATCCACCCAACTGGGTGAGACCCTCCAACAGAGGTTGTCAGATACCCTATACAGGAGTGATCCTACTGGCATCAGGTTGGTGTCCCTTGAGGTCAGAGGTCACAGAAAAAGAAGCAGGCACCCATGCCATCTGTGCTGTTCTCCAGCCTCCCTGAGTGACATCTCCAGGCGTGGGGGTGAATCAGATGAATAGGGTCTGAAGTGAACCCCCAGCAAATGGCAGCAGCCCTACAGAAGAGCCCTACAGAAGAGGGACCTGAT